ATATTTATTACAGGGTCCTGCACTCATCAAAATGAAGGGAACAAGATGCTGGAAAACTCATGTCATAGAGAATCCACAGCATACCTTTATCTTATTCTCTTTTCCGTAATCCTCTTTTTTGTCCTCCTTTCCTACTTTCCACTGTGAAAACTCAACTTTTTAAATTGCATTTATTAGTTTGAATAAATGAATACACTGATTGAATGAAAAAAAAAAATCAACAGATCTTTACTGAGTTCCCATATAGGCTAAGTACTCTGCCTAGTAACTGTTGGCCACACAGGACCCGAACATCAAGATGCTCAGAGCTTAAAGGGGAGGAAGACATATGAGCAATTGAAATGTCAAAGATGAGTGAAGAAATGCCACAGAAAGCACGGGTTATTAAGGGAACAAGGGACAGGAGCACCAGCTCTATGGGAAGTTAGTAAAGGCCTTCCAGGAGAAGTGATATTTAACCTGACACTAAGAAAATATAGGAATTTTCCGGATAGATGAGGTGAGGTGAAAGGCATTCTAGGAAGAAACGTCAGCTTGTGCACAGACATGAAGTCATGCAATTATGTGGCACATTTGGAGAATAATAAGTAACCTGTTATGCACCTGTAATTTCTGTAAGACCAGGAATTCATGCTGTATCCTCAGCATCTAGGATGATGCCTGTAGCATAGTAAGCACTAAATAAGTGTTTGTTGGATGGATGGCAGGAAGGAAACATAAATGAGACCAGGGAGATAAGAGAGGTTCAGTGATAAAGAGCCTTGCTTAGTAAATGCCTACCATGAAGATTGAAAGAGGAATAGGAGGAGATTTTACTCATCATCTACTTGGGAAGAAACAACAAATACTAAAATATCTGTAATATGTTGTGAAAAAGAAAAATGACATGACATGAAAAGTACATTAAAAGTGTTATGATGGTTCAGAGGAAATAGAGGTCCATTTCAGCTGAGGGGATCAGAGAAGTTGTCTTTGGAGCTAGACTCTTTGGAGTTGCTTATACTTAGTTCTGCATTGTATGGTTCCCCCAAAAACACATACGTGAAGTTGGATCAGAGAGTGTTGTGGCAGAAGAGCGATGTGAATTTGGAACTAGACTAGATGGCTTTGCCTGCTCTGTCATAAATTTATCAGCATTTTGTAGGCAGCCATTTATCAGCCTGCACCACTTCTTGTGAGCAGAACCTGACAGGCTCCGATGTTATCTGTAGCAAACACCTTTTTCTTGTTTATGAGAGTGTCTGCGTGTGTGTTTATGCTTGCACCTGCACACCAGTGATTTGAAGGCAGCTCTTTCTACAGAGACAAGCACTCAAGGGGGATACATCAACTGAAACACAAGCTTCAATACCTTTTAAAAATGCACCTTGCTACCCACACACTTTCATTATATGCCTGCACACACATACACACATGCACACAGAGTTCTGTAAGTAGTGGCCTGGGCAAGATTTTTGGTGACTATAGTAGATGGTACTTATATTTATTTCCTCAGCTCTATCCTATACCTTAATCTTCACTTCCACCATGGCTCATCAGGTACCAGTTATATCCCCATGACCTTCTAGATTCTGTAAGGAGTTCACGTAAGAAAATGATTCATTAATTAGTCCAATACATACTTATTGATAACCACCTTTGTGCCAGGCACTATTCTAAACACTGAGGATGCAGCATGGGATAAAAAGAACCAATCCCTGCCCTCTCGGAGTTTACATCCTGGGAGGTGGGTAGAATCGACAAAAATGTGCTGTTTTAGGTGGTGTAAGTGCTAGTGAGATCAGTATAGCAGAGTCAGCGGGAGAGTGTGAGGGTTGGGTGGTCAGGAAAACAGCCTGTCCAGTGATGTGACACTTGAATAGTGACTTGAAGGAAAAAATACGCAATGGGATTGTCTGGGGCAGGAGTATTCCAGGCAGGGGGAACAACCAGAGCAAAGACCCCGAGGCGGGATTGTGTGGCCAGTGTGGCAAGAGCAGAATGGGCAAGGTGGAGAGTGGCAGGAGGTAAGGAGAGCTGTGGGATGAGGGACTGTCATACTAGGCCCACTGGCCATTGTGAAGACTTTGGCTTTTACTCTGAGTGAGACAGAAAGCCAGTGGAGACTTGGTGCAGAGAAGTGGCATGCTCTGACTTGCACCAGCACCCGTGTTGAGAATAGATTGCAGGATGAAAGCATAGAAGCAGGAAGATGACCCAATGGTGGACTCAATCAAGTGAGTTAACAGTGGAGGTGTGGAGAAGTGACCAGGTCGTAGATGTAATTTGAACTGTTTGGACCGACAGGATTTGCTGTTGGGTTAGATGTGGAATGGGAAAGAAAGGAGTTGATGATGACATCAGGATTTTTGGTCTGAGCAACTGGAAGGCTGGAGCTGCTTGTAACTGAGATGGGAGAGATTGCAGGAAGAACAGGCTTGGAGGACGTCAAGAGCTCAGTTTTGAGCACCTTAAGTTTGAGATGCCTATTAGTGAGGAGTTGAATGTAAGACTCTAGAGTTCAATAGACTGGTCTGGGCTGGAGATATAAATTTAGGAATTGCAGCAGTTAGATGGCTTGCAAAGCTGTAAAGTGGAATAAAATAACCTAAGATGTGGGTATAGAAGGAGAAGAGTCTGAGAACCGAGCACTGGGGCATTCTAACATTTAGAGATCAGGGAGATGAGAAGGAACTAGCACTGAGTGAGCGCTGAAGCCAAGTGAAGAAAGTGCTTCAAAGAGAATGGAATAATAAACTGATATCAGATGTTGCTGAGAGATCAAGTGAAATGCAAATGTTGAAGTCTTTAAGACCTCTGTTGAGTTATTTTAGTGGGGGGTGGGGGGAGCTGGGGGAAGCCTGATTAGACTGCTTCCAAGAAAAAATGGGAGGAGAGGAAACAATGATTAGTACTATAGAAAACTCTTTGAGGTTTTACCGTACAGAGGAGCAGAAAACTGGGCCATTGCTGGAAGGGAATGTGGGATCAAGTCAAGCTTCTCATTTTTTTTCTTGGTTGGGAGAAGTTGGGGTCCTGATGGGAATGATCCTAGGAGGGAGGGAAAATGCAGTGATTCCAGAGATACAGTGATGTCCACATGTAGGTGAGAGGGGATGCTCAAGTGGAAGAAGGTTGGCCTTAGACTGGGTGAACTGTCCATGCTCCCTAGTAACAAACTACTTTGCTACAAACGCAGACAGATTGGTAAATTTGGTGATGGAACATGTGTAGATTCTCTTTTGCTTGCTTGTATTTTCTCATACCAAAGAGTAGAGGTGTTGGAGGTTTAAAGAGAGGGAAGTTCGGGACTTCCCTGGTGGCACAGCGGTTAAGGATCCGCCTGCCAATGCAGGGGACATGGGTTTCAGCCCTGGTCCGGGAGGATCCCACATGCTGTGGAACAACTAAGCCCGTGCCCGACAACTACTGAGTCTGCGCTCTAGAGCCCGCGAGCCACAACTACTGAGCCCGCGCGCCTAGAGCCTGTGCTCCGCAGCAAGAGAAGCCACCTCAATGAGAAGCCCGCACACCGCAACGAAGAGTAGCCCCTGCTCGCCACAACTAGAGAAAGCCCGCGTGCAACAACGAGGACCCAATGCAACCAAAAAAATAAATAAATTTTAAAAATAAAATTAAAAAATAAAGAGAGAGAAGTTCAAAGACTGTTGCCAAAGAGTAAGAGAAAATCATGGACCAGGTAAATGTGGTAGGACTGTCAGGCAGCATAAGGGCTCACTTGAATTTAAAGTGAGAGCAGCCAGCGTAGTTGTATGATTTTCTCCAACTACATACGGCTGAATGGGAACAGGCAGAGTAGGTTGAGCATTAGACTTAGCCAGGGGTTGTGGTTTCCCAGATAAAGGAGAGGAATGGAGGAAAAAAGCAAGGGAATGATGATAATGATGGATCACAGGAGCAAGTTAGGGAGGGAGGGAAGTGAGGACAGGGATAGAAGGTGAGAGTGCAAGGTAGCAGGATTAACGGAGTGAAGGTCCCAGTAGGATGTAACGAATTGTGATGACAGTCTGATCCTTGGCATTTGCAGTGCTTTAGGGTTGTATACATAGTGCTTTGTGTGTGTTTGCATAGTATAAACCCTATAAGGTAGGTAGGACAGGCGGTGGTGATGTTGACTCTCATTTTATAGATGAAGCAGGATCCAAAGAAGTAAATAACTTTATCTAAAAATCACACATTAAGTCAGTGGTAAAGCATAGACTCAACCCAAGGCTCTGTTTTATATGTGATGTCTTTTTACCACTTTGTGAGGTGTCTGCTCACAGATTACTCAGTCTCATTGAAGAGATGGAATGTAGAAGACAACATAAGGGAATATGTAATCTAGTGTTAAATTCTATAGTATGACAAGATGTAAGGAGTTTATTCATTCAATAATGTATATTGAGTACTTAGTGTGTGCAGGGCTCTATTATAAGTACTAGGGATATAGCAGTGAATGAGATGGGGAAATCCTGAAGTTATGTGCTTCAGAGAAGTTTTAGAAGGGTTTCTATGTGAGTTTTCCAAGGCATCATGATTTGGTAAAAAGCACAGGGTACTGAAAGTTAGGAAACTTGTTTCTCTGCTACTTGCTATGTGTGACATTGTTGCTTCAACTCACCATGTCTTATTGGGGGACCCCGTCCATAAACTGAGATGTTAGTTTTGCAAGTCCCACCCTGACTAAAAGGTGCGTCTGAGTCTGTATTCTAGCTTAATGGGATAATTGCTCTAAAGTGTTTTAGTCCTCATCAGACTTCCTGACCTAAAAAGTGGGAATGCCACACCTCATCTCATAGTGATAAGACCCTGTTTTCCATAGTGAAATGCTGCACTAACACGCATTCTGGTCATCCTTCATTTTTGAAACTCTGGGGAAATAAGAAAGGGAGATAGAGGCCATGCTCAGCCTGCAGGTGCAACAGTCCCCACCCTTAACCTGGTGACATCTGAGGACCTGTGAAAAGCTTTGAAGTAACTAATGACTTTCCACCCTCTTCCTACTCCTTCCTGTTCAGGCCTGGAAGAAACGCTGGTTTATCCTGCGGAGTGGGCGGATGAGCGGTGACCCAGATGTTCTGGAATACTACAAGAATGATCACTCCAAGAAGCCCCTGCGCATCATCAACCTGAACTTCTGCGAGCAGGTGGACGCAGGCCTGACCTTCAACAAGAAGGAGCTGCAGGATAGTTTTGTGTTTGACATCAAGACCAGCGAGCGCACCTTTTACCTGGTGGCCGAGACGGAGGAGGACATGAATAAGTGGGTCCAGAGCATCTGCCAGATCTGTGGCTTCAATCAGGCTGAGGAGAGCACAGGTATGGGAACAAACACGGACCTTTCTCAGAAGGGGCTAGGCACTTCCTGGGCGGGGCTGGGCACTTGGGGCTAGGATGATGGCCCTCATATTCCTTGAATCAGGAGAACAACCTGTAGCTAAAGGCTTTCCTCTGTGGCAGAGGAGTAGTAGGCAAAGGGTAAGAGTGTGAAGGGGTAGCCAAATATAGAGGGCCTCCTAACACTAAATATGCTCAAGTGGGAAACAGATATGTTGGGGTTATGATGAAGCTCGAGGTACTTGATGGTGTTGCTTCAAGTACCTCCATGCCACCACATTTCGCAGGTCCGCACCTTTCTCCCCTTCCCTCAGCTCTCTAGCTCTTTGTGCCCTGTTAAATGTCAGCCATCCCATAGGGCAACTCACACCTTTATCCCTTCTCTGATGCATCTCTGTCTGTTCCTGCCATCTATTTCAGACCATCCTGCACAGTTATCCTTGCCACTTTTTTTTGTCAGGGGGAGGTTTGGGATCCCTTGTGATTATTATTGATGTATAATCCAGTGTTCATTATATTTACTTGGGAAGGGACAGTCATGAGGGGGAGATTCTGATTTGTGTTGGGTTTTGTTAACCTTCAAAAAAAAAGAGTAGCTCAACTTTTCAAAATAAAAGTTTTAAATTGCAGAAACGCTCTTTGACATTTGTTGGGGCTCATCCTCAAGTCTGGGATGATTGAAGAGTAGGGTTTTTTTGAGGCAGATGGAGACCCTAAATTAGTAGTTTCCTGAACCTGGTTACATATCAGAAGTAGAAGAACATTTTTTAAATGCTGATGCCAAGGACCCATATCAAATCAGTTAACCAAGAACCTCAGGGGTGGGACCTAGGCATTAGTGTCTTTTGAAAACTTCATTCTAAGTAGCAAGGGTCTGGGGCTCAGCATCCGTTTTCTGTACGTAAATGAAGGCCTCATACAGTCTCTGATTCATATACCTGTTTTCTAAATTTTTTACAGCCCTTTAAAACAAAAACCATTCCTAGCTCATCAGCAACATCGTCCTCATCTGGGAATCTGTTAGAAATGCAAATTCTTGGGCCCACTCCAGACTTACTGAATCAGAAACTCTGGGCGTGGAGCCCAGCAATCTGTGTTTTGATCAGCCTGCCAGGTGATCTGATGTTTGAGAACCGCTGGTTTAGATTCTTGCTGCTCAGAGTGGGGTTTGTGGACCAGCAGCGTCAACCTCTCCTGGGAACTTGTTAGAAATGCAGAAGACTTCCACCCAGACTTACAGAATCAGAATCTGTGTATCTTTAAAACTTCTTATTCTGAAATAATGTTACAATTACAGAAGAGTTGCAAAAATTGTACAGCAAGTTCCCATATATCTTTCATTCAGCTTTTCCCTGACGTTAACATCTTGCTTAACCAGGTATAGTGGTCAAAACTGAGCAGTTAACATTGATTGGTACAGTACTATTCACTGCAGTGTATTGGGATTTCACTTGTTTTTCACCAGTGTCTTTATTCTGTTCAGGATTCAATCCAGGATAGCACATTAGATTTGGTAGTTCTGTCTCCAGGGCTCCTCCAATCTGTGATGACAGTTCCTCAGTCTGTCTTGTCTTGTCTGACCTTGACACTTTTAAAGAGTACTGGTTAGGGGGCTTCCCTGGTGGCGCAGTGGTTGAGAGTCCGCCTGCCGATGCAGGGGACACGGGTTCGTGCCCTGGTCCGGGAGGATCCCACATGCCACGGAGCGGCTGGGCCCGTGAGCCATGGCCACTGAGCCTGCGTGTCCGGAGCCTGTGCTCCGCAGCGGGAGAGGCCGCAACAGTGAGAGGCCTGCGTACTGCAAAAAAAAAAAAAAAAAAAGTACTGGTTAGGTATTTTGTAGAATGTCCCTCCATTTGGTGTTTTCTCATGATTAGATTGAAGTTTTGGGGAGACTACCACAGAGGTGATGTGCCTTTTTCTGCACGTTGTATCAGGGGGCACATGGTGTCAATACGTCTTATTACTGGTCATGTTAACCTTGATCACTTGATTAAGGTAGTATCTGCCAAGTTCCTCCGCTGTAAAACTACTATCTTTGCTTTTGTAATTAATAAATAGTTTGGAGGAAATACTTTAATCATGTGCAAATATCCAATTTCTCCTTAAACTTTTGCGCACTAGTTTTAGCATTTATCAGTGGATCGTGTTTACAACAATTATAACTGTGGTATTCTAGTGAATTTTTCTATTTCCCTCAGAATCCACATTTTATTAAGATCCCTAGGTGATTTGTATGCACGTTAAAGTTTGAGAAGCTCTGGTCTGGATTATTTGTCCACAAACCTGGTGCCTTATCAGAATCACCCTAAAAACTTTTATCTAACTTACAGGTACTAATTCAGTAGATCTGGCTTAGGGCTGAGGAATCAATAGTGTTAAGAGATTCCTCCTATAGAATGGGAGGAATTATTTCCAAATCATATCTGATGAGGGTCTAGTATCTAGAATATAAGAAGAATTCTTACAACTAAATAACAACAAGAAAAAGACAAATGACCTCATTTAAAATTGGGCAAAGGATCTGAATAGACATTTCTCCAGGGAAGATGTACAAATGACCAGTAAGCCCATGGAAAGATGTTGAACATCATTAATCATTAGGAAGATGCAAAGCAATACCACTAGCACTTCACACCCACTAGGATGGCTGCAATCAAAATGTGGACAATGATAACTGTTGGCAAGAATGTGGAGAAACATACATTGCTCATACATTGCACCTCATACATTGCTGGTGGGAAAGTAAAATGGTACAGCTACTGGAGAACACAGTGTGTCAGTTTTTTAAAACCTTAAACCTATGATCCAGCAATTCCACTCCTAGGCATATACTCAAGAGAAATGAAAATATGTTCACACAAAAATTTATAGACGAATGTTCATAGAAACGCTATTCATAATAACCAAAATGTGGGCACAACCCAAATGTCCGTTAATGAATAAACAAGATGTACGTGTGGCGGAGTGCATGTGTAGTGAGCACTTTTAAGATCTGTTCTCTTAGCAACTTTCAAGTATACATTTGTTACAGTATTGTTAACTATAGTCACCATGCTATATATTACATCCCTAGGATTTATTCATTTTATAACTGGAAGTTTGTACCCTTTGATCCTTACCCATTTCCCCTGCCCCACCCTTGCCCCTGAAAACCACCAATCTGTTCTCTGTTTCTATGAGTCTGGTTATTTTAGATTCTGCATATAAGTGAGACTATACAGTTTTTGTCCTTCTCTGTCTGACTTATTTCACTTAGCGTAATGGCCTGAAGGTTCATCCATGTCGTCACAAATGGCAAGATTACCTTCATTTTATGGCTGAATTATATATATATATATATACACACACTATATATATATGTGTGTGTGTGTATGTGTCTATAGAATGTGTGTGTGTGTGTACATGTATATATATATATATATATATATATATAATGTGATTTTTTTAATATATAGTCACATTTTCTTTATCCATTCATTCTTCAGTGGACCTTTAGGTTGTTTCCATGTCATGCCTACTGTAGGTAATGCTGAAATGAACATGAGGGAGCAGATATCTCTTCCAGATAGTATATTCAATTCCTTCAGTGATATATCCAGAAGTGGCATTGCTGGGTCATATGGTAGTTCTATTTTTAATTTTTTGAATAAACTCCATACTGTTTTGCATAGTGGCTGTACCAATTTATATTCCCACCTACAGTGCACAAGGGTTCCCTTTTCTCCACATCTCTGCTTACACCTCATATCTTTTTGACAATAGCCATTTGACAAGTGTGAAGTGATATCTCATTGTGGTTTTGATTTGATTTACATTTCCATGATGATTAGTGATGTTGAGCACCTTTTCAGGTAGCTGTTTGCCATTTGAATATCTTCTTTGGAAAAAGGTCTGTTCAGGTTCTTTGCCCATTTTTTAATCAGGTTATTTGAGTTTTTGCTGTTGAGTTATATGAGTTCCTTATATATTTTTGATATTAATCCCTTATCAGACATGAAGTTTGCAAATATTTTCTCCCATTCCTTAGGTTGCCTTTTCATTTTATTGATTGTTTCTTTTGCTGTGCAGAAGCTTTTTAGTTTAATGTAGTCCCACTTATTTACTTTTGCCTTTCTTGCTTGTGCTTTTGGTGTCATATCCAAAAAATCGTTGCCAAGACCAGTGTCAAAGAACTTTTCCTCTGTGTTTTCTTTTAGGATTTTTATGGTTTCAGGTCTTACATCTTCTATCCATTTCAAGTTAATTTTTATGCATTGTGTAAGATAGGGTTTGTTTGTTTGTTTGTTTTTATTTATTTATTTTGGGCTGCATTGGGTCTTCGTTGCTGCATGCGGGCTTTCTCTAGTTGCGGTGAGTGGGGGCTTCTCTTTGTTGCGGTGCACAGGCTTCTAATTGCGGTGGCTTCTCTTGTTGTGGAACATGGGCTCTAGGCTCACAGGCTTCAGTAGTTGTGGCACGCAGGTTCAGTAGTTGTGGCTCGCGGGCTCTAGAGCGCAGGCTCAGTAGTTGCGGCATGCAGGCTTAGTAGCTCCGCAGCATGTGGAATCTTCCTGGCCAGGGCTCGAGCCCATGTCCCCTGCATCAGCAGGCAGATTTTTAACCACTGCACTACCAGGGAAGTCCTAAGGTAGGGTTTTTGTTTGTTTGTTATTTATTTTAGCATCTTTATTAGAGTATAATTGCTTTACGATGGTGTGTTAGTTTCTGCTTTATAACAAAGTGAAGCAGCTATACATATACATATATCCCTTCCTCTTGCATCTCCCTCCCAATCCCACCCCTCTAGGTGGTCACAAAGCACCAAGCTGATCTCCCTGTGCTATGTGGCTGCTTCCCACTAGCTATCTATTTTTGTAGTATATATAAGTCCATGCCACTCTCTCACTTTGTCCCAGCTTACCTTTCCCCCTCCCCGTGTCCTCAAGTCCATTCTCTACATCTGTGTCTTTATTCCTGTCCTGCCCCTAGGTTCTTCATAACCTTTTTTTTTTCTTTAGATTCCATATGTATGTATTAGCATACGGTATTTGTTTTTCTCTTTCTGACTTACTTCACTCTGTATGACAGACTCTAGGTCCATCCACCTCACTACAAATAACTCAATTTCGTTTCTTTTTATGGCTGAGTAATATTCCATTGCATATATGTGCCACATCTGCTTTATCCATTCATATGTTGATGGACACTTAGGTTGCTTGCATGTCCTGGCTATTGTAAATAGAGCTGCAGTGAACATTGTGGTACATGACTCTTTGAATTATGGTCTTCTCAGGGTATATGCCCAGTAGTGGGATTGATGGGTTGTATGGTAGTTCTTTTTTTAGTTTTTAAAGAACCTCCATACTGTTCTCCATAGTGGTTGTACCAAGATAGGGTTTTAATTCCATTCTTTTACATGTGAATATCCAGTTTTCCCAACACCATTTTTAAAATTTATTTATTTAGGCTCCACTGGGTCATAGTTGTGGCATGCGGGATCTTTTAGTTGCAGCATGTGGACTTCTTAGTTGCAGCGTGGGGACTCTTAGTTGCGGCATGCATGCAGGATCTAGTTCCCCAACCAGGGATTGAACTCAGGCCCCCTGCACTGGGAGTGTGGAGTCCTACCCACTGGAACATCAGGGAAGTCCCCCAACACAGTTCATTGAAAAGACTTTTCTCCTTTGAGTATTTTTGGCTCTCTTGTCAAATATTTACCATATATTGGGGCTCTCTGTTCTGTTCCTTTGGTCTATGTGTCTGTTTTTCTGCCGGTACCATACTGTTTTGATTACTATAGCTTTGTAATATACTTTGACATCAGGGAGTGTGATGCTTCCAACTTTGTTCTTCTTTCTCCAAATTGCTTTGGCTATTTGGCATCTTTTGTGGTTTCATATGAATTTTAGGATTGTTTTTTCTCTTTCTGTAAAAATGCCATTGGAATCTTGATAGGAGTTGCACTGAATGTATAGATGGTTTTGGATAGTATGGACATTTTAACAATGTAAATTCTTCAAATCCATGAACACAAGATATCTTTCCACTTATTTGTGTTGAAGTTCTTAATTTTTGATCATGGAGCCCTGCATTTTCAGTTTGTACTGAGCTCTGCAGGTTATGTAGCTGATTGTGCCTGGACTAGATGTCCTGCCCTAGGAATTATGTGATCTTCCTTGAGGAAGGATTATGAGTCCCCATTTTACTCTTAAGTCCTTTGGTATAATTTTTGCTTCCTGTGCGGACTTTTTTGTTTCCCCCCCCCCAAATCTTTGTTTTTTTAGGCTTTATGGATTTTGTTTTTGTTTTTCATTTTATTTTATTCCTGATAAAGAAATAAAATACTCATGCAAAAAAAAAAGAATAAAATAAGAAAGGAATTTTTAAAAAGTGGGAGAAAGAACCCATAGACCCCCTAGTCTCAAAGCTTTCATAAATGTGAGAAATAAGTCCAAGGAATACGTCAGCTTTTTAGGAAATAGGTATAATGGGGTGGAGGAGGAACCAGAAAGCAAATTGCTTTTAAGTGAACTATTCCCTTGTGGGATTAGAGGTGTCCCTACCAAGAAAAACATATCCTTGAGATGTAGCAAAAATTACTCTTGGTGCAAATATCTTTTTTAAAAATCACATATTTAAAAAATAGTTATTTTCTGAATCCCTACTTTTACTATATAGAATTTAAGTATAATTCAAATTCAAATATGTGAAACTACATCATCTGGGCTTGCTTTCTTTGGTGGGAATATTTATTCATTCATACATTGTTCATTTACTCATTCATTCATCAAATCTTCATGGAGCACTCATTCTATGAGAGTCCCTGTCATAATCACTGAGGCTACAGACTATAAAGATGAACCATAGAGTTCCAGCCCTCAGACATCATAGTCTAGTGGAGGGGACAGACATAACCAGACAGTCACAGGGAAATTCTGTAACAGAGGCATCACCAAGGATGGAGGCACCAGCCCATGCACCACCATCTCAGTTAGGGAAGAAAAGGAGGGGAAGTATTAAGGGGGTGACAAATAATCAAGTCAGTATTTTTCAACAGCTTTGTCTATTAAACAGTATATTCCCTTTAACTTTTAACTTCTTTTTTAAGGGATTATTTTATCAGATGTCTAGTAGTTTAATTACCAGAGTAAGGGTATTATTTGTCTCTGATAGAGGTTTAGGATTTTTTGTGAGATCTTTCTGATGAAGACAAATGGCCTTTTCTTCCCTCTCATAGGAGAATCTGGTATGTAAAAAGATTCAGCCACATAATAGGTTATGTTGTAATTTAGAAGCTGTCTTGAAAGTACATATATTATATCTATAAAACCCTCAGGTAAGGAATGAGAGATTAATCACCCAAGTCAGTGTTTCTTTTCACTGAGAATCAGGATCTGAGGGAAAGCAGGAAGGAAGTTAACATTTGACTACCTACTTTTGCTTAAGTACTTTATTTCATTTAATCACTTTTATCAACTGTTTCTATTTTTTTCAAATAAAGAAACTGAGTGCTATTTCTCCCCTGCCTAGCACTCCAGGACTAAAACTCTTCTCTGAGCCCAGCCTTGGGTGGGTTCAGATGGGCTATCCAATTCTCATCTGCCTGAGATTCTTCCTAAAGACAACTGCTGCTCTCCTTTTGCTGAGGCTCGTTGAGAACAATCCAATCACCTGGGTGTTAGCGTCAGCACCTGCCTTACGTGAGGAGCATCCTGCACTGATATCTAACCTTCGGTGGCCACAAAAGGAAATTATAGGAGCTGTGTATTGAGCATCTACTCTATGTCAAATAAGGACTTTACATAAATTCTCACTAAAAATTCATAGTAATCCTTTGAGGTAGCAACAATTTTGACTCAAGGTCACAGCTAGAAAATGATGGAGCCAGGATTCTAGTCTAACCCAGGTCTGACTGTGCATTGTAATATGCTGTCTCTTTGTCCTGGACCTCCTGGAATATGAAAATCTGCCAGAACCAAGCCCCGATAGTTTTGCCCCTGTGGACACCATGTATTAGATTGGAAGCACTCCTTGACCCCTTCCACCAGAGTCCTACAGCTGACTCAGTTTTCCCTCCTCACCAACCCATATTGCTGAAATCCTTGGGCTCGAATATTCCAAGAATTTAGTAACTTCTAGAGCTTTAATCCAGCCATTAGGCTGTATTGGTGAGTCTGTAGGCTGGGGACGAGGAAGCCTGAACTCACATCACAACTCTGGGGTGATGTGAACAAGTCACTTGATTGAGGCCTTAGTTTCCTTTCTTCAAATAGAGAGAAAATCCTCTTTTCACTCAGTAATTCTGCTTCTCTATGGGTTCATCAACGCAGACCTTAGACCACTGGCAGCCCCTCAAGTTTCATATTTCCCAAAGGAATATTCACACTGTATTCTATGTAGAGGTATCTCCTGGAGCTGTGCAGTCCATACCCCTGCTTGCTGTTGGTCCTGTAGAAATTTCTTCCCATGGGGAGCTTCCTTCAAGCAGATACTCCTTCTTTCCTTTCTTTTTTAAAAAGAGTTGTGATGGGACCCGTAAAAAAAAACTTGTGTTTTTCACTTTTAGCTGGAAGCGGTTCTATAGCAGATGGAGTCTTTTTTTAATCCTTCTTGCCACCCCCAGCTTCTTCTTTCTGCTGCCACTCTCCAACTCCTCACGTATTCCAGCCAAAAATGCCTAGGATAAAACCTGTCTAGGATCAAGACCAAACCAGGAGTGCCACTGAGTTCGAATATTGACACAAGTGTGGAAGAAACAGCCTCCTGATAGAGAGCTCTTTCCAAAAGGAAACCGGGCACGATGCTCAGAAGGGAAAAGCAATTCTAAGAATGAATATCAAGATTTCATATCACATACATGGAGTTTACTTGTTGTTTGTTTGGGGGTGGGGGTGTGTACATGTACGCACAGGCAACAATAAGAACCCCGCCTTCCTCTGGGAATCAAAATAGCCTTCAATCCCCCAAGTCAGGGGGCAGAAAGCTGCTTTGAGCTGTGTTTACGAGCAGGCGGGTCCAAGTCCTCACATTTGTGGCCCTGTCGTGGGCAGCTGTCCCTGACCAGATGTACCACACATAAAAAGAAGCAGCTCCCAGCACAGAGCGTGGATGAATGATTCATGGGCTCAGGAGTCATCCACTGTTAGGAAAGCGCTCACCCCTTTGAATCCTCTAAGCTGAGGGCTTCTCCTTCCCACTCATCCCCTCCCTCCTCCCTCTATTCCGTAGCTGGTCCAGGACCTGCACAGCCCCTTACTCTAACGTGCACTCTGAAAGGCACCCTAGCTGCTGCTGTTTATTTGCTCTAGGATGTTGAAATAGTAACTCTGTTTCTCTGAGGTGTTATTATCTGTAAAATGGAGATTATGCTCCCTTGCAGAGGGGTTGGGAGGAAGCTGGGAAAACGTATAGGCACACAATGTGAACGGTACCTGCTTGTTTCGCTGCTTTCCGTGTCGTACTTTTGGTGAAAATGATGATTTTTATATCTGGAGGTCAAGATGAACAGGATATGATTTAAGTATCTGGTGTTTTTAGAGAACTTTACAGTCTACACAACACTTACGCAGTCTCCTTTGCATATAAAGAAACAAAATAAGCTAGGCAAGGCTGCTAACGCTATTCCTATTGCAAAAATAAGGAAGCTAAAGTTTAAAGGCACTGACATTGCCAGAAAGCAGTGTTGCCGGATCTAGAATCCAAGGCTTTTAACTCCACCCTAGGGCTGTATGCTCTAACTCCTTCTCACTTATCCGAACCCCTTTTCACAGACCTGTTTATTGTGGCTGCTTGTAAATCACAAAATAGCCAGCAAAGAGGAGAAGCAAGAAGATGATCACTGAGAACTAAACATTTGGAAAGTAAAGTGCTGTCTATACATTAATGTTAATCTCGGACGGCTATATCAGCAAGATAACATGATCTGTCTCAGAGTAGCCAACAAACTACTGTGAACTAAAGCTCAGGGAGTTTAGGTCACCAGAGCCCCGTTTGCAACTCTTGAAGATTTTGAAATTAAGGCCAGAGCCTCCTCCATATCCTGTCTATTATTGTAGCTTTTTTCCTTCTTGAACTCCCTAGCAGGAATTTCACAGTAGTTGCATGACTAACTCTATAGAAAGATGACCTCCCAGAGTTCCAACCGACTGTTCTTTATCTGTTCCCCACCATTTCTCTACTAAATTTTGGGTGAGACTGCCCCCTACTTTAAATATTTTGTGAATATTTACACTTCTAGTAATCTGTGAATTTCCCCAGTAACTCAACAGCAGAATTATTTTAAGTCCTGGTTCCCTTCTAGGATGAAACTATACCCACAGGTATGCGTTTGGGGAAATCTTCAGCCCCCAGTGGAGGAATGTTATCAGGGTCTTCAAACAGCTCCTTCCTCTCCAGAGAGAATGATTGGTGCCTTAAAGGTCAGGACCCCTTATTCCAGCTGGACTTCTCAGAGCAGGGAGGGCCGTAGTGGAGACAGGCAGTCCACTGAGGTACCTTCTGGTGACCTTGGTCCCTTCCCCCACTACCCTGACACAGTGAGTGGGAGTGCCAGGGAGAAGCTGGGAGTGGAGGACAGTGGGGACGAGAGAGGCCTTTCTAGGAGACCTGACCCTTTCTCTCTTCTCATTCCTGGGAGGAACTTTTCCTCCCTTGTTCCCTCCCCTACCTTTTGCTTTCTGGGTTTTTTTTTTTAACTGGGGTCAGATCTCTCACTCCTCTGGGAGACCCTTGTTGGAAGCTTAGAGAAAATGTGGGCGGTGATAGGCAGCTTCTCCCCAGGCTTACACAGGTCCCTGGAGGAAAGAAGAACAGAGTGGAGACTGATCCGGGCCCCAGCCCAGAGGCAGAGGCTGCTCTCTGTATCACCCACCCTTTTTTTCCAGAGACAGTGGGGAAAATAAACATCCAGACCAGTTTCCAGCCAGATCTGAAATCCTCATGCCTTAAAAAAAAAAAAATTGGTATTCTAAATAACCCTGAAATATCAGACCTTCCTCCTCAGTCTTTTGTTTATTTGTTGTTTTTTTGTCTACAGCTGGGTCTCGTCACCCTGAGAGTAGGCTTTGAGTTGGGACATGAACTCTGTAAAATCCCCACAGACACTTTTGCCTTGTCCTGGAACAGGCTTCAGCCCTGACCTGCAGCAAAGTCCAGACCCTCTGGAGGAGGAAAGGGCGACAGGGAGAAACCTGACCCTCTTCTTTTCGTTCTAAGCCTTGATCCTCCTTCCTACTTTCCCTTGTATACCAGACACTCCCCCACACCGTCCCAGCCAGCCAGCGTAAAGTCTAATGTACCTGCCAAACCCACAGACTGTTAGAAATGAGAGTGTCTCATCCCAACTCCTCAACACCAGAAGCTTTGGATGGTTCCCCAGACGTCCCATGAGGTGCTCCCCCTTTTTTGTTCTTTGAGTATGTCTAATTATCTCTAGTGAAGGAGGGTAATAAATTATTGTTGAATTGGTCCCAGACCAGATTCTAAAGCCCAGTGTAACTCTAGTTTTTGGCTGAAGGTAGAATCAGGACTTTGAATTTGGTGGTAAGGTCACTTTGGACCTCTGAAGCTCTTGGTTATGATTAAACATCCAGTTATGTACAGTTCTGCACAGGATTCTGAACTCTGCAAAGGCCTTTGGACTCTACCTTCAAGTTGAGGCCCACCCTGCACTCCAGCATGGAGTCAGGGCTCTGGGATTCTTCACCCTTTTTGCTCAGTTCTGACCCTCATCTTGTGTGCGAGATAAGGTCAGCCCTGGAACTTTGCCTACTTTTTCCTATTCTTGAGTCATTTCCCTGTTAACCTGACTGTCGTATCAAATTCCACCTGGGACTAGACCCCACCCTGCTTTGATTTAGTCCCTCTCAGAGACCCCAGTCTTACCAAAATCCTTAAGCCAGTGGCTGGAGCCCCACCGTCCAGTGGCTGACTTCCGGGTGGCCAGTGGTCTGTCTGCCTGAATTTCTGAAGAAACTCCACTTCTGCTTTCCCTAAACAGCTTCCTCCTCCTTTCGGACTCAGCTGCCCCCATCTCTGGGTGATACCCAGTTTCCGTTTCTGTGTTCACTCATTCAGCACACTGAGTACCTGTTTTTGCCAGGTCCTGTTCTAGGGTCACATGCCAGAGAAGAGCATAAGCCGCGTACCCGCTCTCAGTGACCTCAGGAGCTTTGTCAGATCCTCCAGTTGGAACCCTTCTCAGTGACTGCCTGCCTCCTCTGTGTATAGTTCCAGGTCCTGGGGCCCTCAGTTTTCACCAAGTTTTGCTGCTTTTAACTGAACTGTGCCTGGCTATATGCCAAGATACAGCTAACAGATTAAAACAAAATTGAGGTTAACCTCAAGTGTGAAAAGAAAAGAAAATTTTTTTCCAATTTCTGAATTTAATTTCAATATCAAGCCCCTATCTGGCTAGTGATAGAAATCAAAGTTCTAATCGACTTAGGTTAACACTGATCAATACAGGGTTTTCTCAGTTACTTCAGGTTTCTCTTCTTTCTTCTCTTTCTTCTCTTTTCTCTTTTTCCTCACATAAATGGAAATAAATACACCAGATATTTATTTTTTCCACCTCTTTATTGAAGTATAATTGACAAAACTGTATATATTTAAAGTGTACCTCATGATGATTTGATATATGCAAACATTGTCAAATGATGGCCACCATCAGGTTAATTCACACATCCACCACCTCAGAATTCAGGTTTCTCTTGTTTTCTCCAAGTTCCCAGAAGCTTAGGGAACTGGAAGTAGTTCACTGAGGCTAGAGCTCAAAGTCTGGGACTGAGGGGAGATATGTCAGAGACCTGAGAATGAGAACGTGACCCTTTTATCTTTCTGTCACCACATTAGTAGAGACACATAGTGGCTGCCCAATGATGATTCAAATGAATGATTTAGTTATAGTGTTTGTTTACAACTTTGTAAATAGTTGTAGTTACATAAAATTACAGTTTAAAAAATTACAACTTATTTCTGAACGTTGTTTTGAGAAATTCACTGTTGAGGAGGGGGAAAAAAAGAAGCTTCAAAAACATTCTAATCTTATTAACAGGACATAGAGTCTAAAATTCCATATATTGAAATAGTGGTATACAATGAAAAAGAACAATTTTTAAAAAGCAAAGAAAACTTGAAAATGGATAATGTTCTAACTAGTCTGAAGAGGTAGGATATGAACTTTATTTTACATAGCTATCATTTATTTATTGTTTGCTTTTATTCCCCACCGCCTCACTTCTTGTGTGGATGAGGTCAGTGAACGAATTCTTCATGGCTGGTGAATCATAGCAGCCAAAACACCCAGCCAAGACAGAGAAGGCAGTAGATTTCATAAACTGAGAAAATTCTAGAATATGAGATCTTGAAGGGCCCTTAGAGAGTGTTTTGTTCCAAACTCCTCAGATGACAGTGTCTGGAGGTCAAGAGAGGGGAGCTGAGTTGCTCAAGAGCATACAGCTGACTGGCAAGGCTAGAATTGAAGCCCAGGTTTCATCTTATACTTGTATGATGCGTGCGTGTGTGCCTGTGTGTGTGTATATATATATATACACACTCACACACACACATACACACACACACACCGGTTCAGGAGGTCAATCTAGTACAAAGAGCAAAGAGCATAGGTCTTGGAATCATAAATACAGGAATCCACAACACTGATGAGTTCGGTCTTAACACGGTCTTAGGCAAGTCAGTTTTCTTTTCTGAGCCTCAATTTCTGCCTCAGTAAAATAGAAACAAGACTTTCTTCACAATATTATGATGAAGATTATATAAGAATCCACTTAAAGCATGGCGTTTGGTACATGATAAGCACACATTAAGTATCTGTCCGGTGTATGGCTAATAAATTGTTGCGGCCTTCTCTGTGATCATGGCAGCCCTTTGAGTGTGTATACCGTGCTATTCTTATCTCCCCAAAACTGAAACATCCTAAATAACACGATCTCTATTTTCCCTGATCTTGGAAACATTCTTACTGTGTGTGATTAATATGTTTATCAAATAAGCCTTGCTGACTTTCCTGATTTGAGATGCATTATACTTAAGTTATTGAGGTGCTCAAAAAACAAAGGTGTTTCTTTAAATATACTACTACTAACAGTAAGAGATAATGTTTACGTAGAGCTTACCATGTAGAGGCAGTGTTCAAAGCATTTCACAGATCTTAACTCATATAATCTTATGAGGTAGATACCTATCATTATTCCCATTTAACAGATGAAAAAGCTGAGGCACAGAGAGGTTCAGTAACTTTCCCTAGTTCTTACAACTACTAAGTAAAGGACCTGGGATTCAAACCCAGACTGTATGGCTGCAGAATCCATGTTCTTAACTATTAACCCATACCCTGAAATTCTAGATATAGTTCCTTGCCTCACACTGTCACGATACCTGTTTAGGGTCTTCAGCATGTGCATGAAGACCTGAGAAAGACTCACTGCTGTCTCTGCTCTCTTGTGATGACCTTCTCTGGCTTTGCCAAGAAGGTTTCCCAAGCCTGTCAACACAAGTCGATCATATTATTCTCTTGTACCTTTTGATTCTGTATGCTGACTAGAAACTAGCATGTTGTTTGTGCCCAAGGTGTGCTGAAATGAAAGTGAATATGATTTCTTATAATAATATTCATGGGCTCTCCACACTGGCTTTTCCTGTGATTCTTCTTCTTGATTATTCCAAAACATGGGTTTGGGATTCACTGGTCTTGGTTTCAGCCCGCTTCTGTCTCCTTAGTGAGCAGCTTAAGTTAGGTACTAAGATTTTTGAGAGAGGACATGATTGTACAAACCAGAAGGAGAACTTGTAGTCTGGGGGCTGGCAAACTTTCTCTCTAAAGGGCCAGATAGTCAATATTTTAGGCTTTACCACCTGAACGTTCTTTGTCACAAGTACTCAACTTTACATAGAAGCAACCATAAAGAATATGCACATGAATAGGGATAGAACTTTATTTATAAAATCAGGCAGTCGACGAGATATGACTTATGGTCCTTAGTTTGCCAACTCCTGTTCTAGTATAATAATATGCCTTGGCAGGCCCACTCAGATACATGTACATATGGTCTTAGTGTGCTGGCCGTCCTAGGGATGTTAAAAAACAACCCTCCCTTTTGGATCCCAGTGAAAAAAACCTAGGGTTGCTGAGGCATCAAGACACAAGGCTGGAAGATGAATAGGGAAGCTACAGGTATGAAGCCAGGAGATTGTTGTGACCCCAGGACTGGAGACAGTGGCTGAGAAAGAGCTGCCGACTGGAAGCTGAGTCCTGCCAGGCTCTCTGCCTGCAGTCCTCTACTCACCAGTCAAAGGCCAGTTGAATCCATCTGCATGCTCTGGTACCAGTCCTGCCTCTAATCAAACCCTGAAGGTCTGCAGATGCCGTTCACACACCAGGTTACCCCAGGGATGGAGTGCTAAGGGGAGAAGTTCCCTTTGTGGAGCACTGATATACAGACACAATGGCATTCCTTGACTCTCCAGGACAACGCTGCAGGTAGCTATTCGTAAAAATTTTACAAATTAGGGCACAGATTCGGATACCATTCCTAGGTTCCACAGCAAAACACTCAGATTCAGATTTCAAAATCCACGTTCCTTTCCCCTAACCACACTGTCTCTCCTACAGCCACAGTTCTGGGTCAGGTAATGCTGTGGATCTCATAATTCCCTAGGCAAACTGGAGCTCTTAGAATCCCAGCCTCACCATCCAGACAAGAGCAGTTTCAGGGATTGTTCTTGTGATTATTGCCACTGGTAATGATTCTTGATAAACTCCCATCATTGGAATACCTGACACTTGTGTTTCACGCTGGTAGCCAGTTGTCTCTTAGTGAAAGTCACTGTGAAAGGAAGGGGAAGCTTACCTCTTATGAAGTTGGTTAGCTTAAAAATACAGTGATATAGTTTCGATATTTTTGTGGAAAGGTCACAAGGGTCAGATGCATCATTGACATGTGAGCTTATGGTGCCCACTAGATGGATTGATTCCCATGGGAATACTAATGAGTCCCCAGAGTTCCTTGGGGGAAGGGAGAAGTGCTGCCCCAAGTATACATTTGCTCTTCCCAACTGCAGTATAAGCTCATAGAGCAAGGACAAGATCCACTCTTTTGGTCAGCCTGAAGCTCTTAGCAGAGTGCCCACGGTCAGTACTCATGCCCCTAAGTTAACAAGAGTGCTTCATTCCAATTATGGATTGACTCTTTGAGGGGGACACGCAGTCAACCGAAGCCCCTCTCAAAGGAGCAGGAGTAAGGTCTGTCACAACTGGGGTGTGCTGTCCGTGTGGCAGGTGAGATAAGAACAAAGCTGACCTGTCCGATGTGAACTGGACAATGCATGCGTGGCTAAATATAGACCAGCTGTCCAAAACCAGAAACACACACAACTCAGACAACCTTGCTAAGTGGTAACAGTTCCTCCCACCCTGAACAGCAGCTTACATTCAGATCCTGGAGCTCTTCACTCCTTCTTCTGACACAAAGAGGAAAGATTCTGACAAAACGTATTGCCCTGGTATGTTTATCGAGCACCTTGTTCTAATCTGGACGTTTAGTAGACACACAGCGTTGTGCTGAGCACCACCAGAGAAACAGATGGTCTGGGTCCTAACTTCTAACAGCTCACGGTCTGTTTAGTATGAGAGGTTTGTGAATGCCCAGCATAAAATAAAAAACAAAATGAAGTACGGTAAAAGGTTTAGAGGAAGGCATAATTAGTTCTCACCAGAGACCTTATAGAAAGCATGGCATTTGCTGTGGACCTTAGTTTCCCATCTCTGAAATGAGATGCCACAGGGCAAAGGAAGGTTATGTAAGGACGTGTGACCAGAGACTGTGTGACATGCCTGCGAGCTGCAGCCACTCACTCTCTTTGCCCTGTGCCCCTTCGCAGGATTGATTTCTGCTAAAGTAGACCAAGAGATCATATCCGTCAAGGTCAGGGTGCTGTGACTTGGCCCTTGGATCTCTGAGATGGTGTTTTTTCCCAGATCCTTCCTCAGAAGGGGAGTGGGGAGGCCT